GGAAGACAGAAATTTTGAAAACAACATTCTGAATCTTCCCATTATAGGGTCTCGTTAGACACTCCTAAAAGAATCCTAAAGTCCTAAAAGGTTTTTTAGGATTTCGTGCCGTGTTGTCACACGCAATCCTAAAAATCGTCTTTTAGGATTCATCCTAATAAAAGGTGTCCCGCGGCCGCTTTTCATATGCGTACACGCAGCCGCGTCGCCGATGTCCGTCCATTCCTGGCTGCTGTCCGTGGTACACACTGCGGTGGGCCGTCGGCGGGTAGGGCTCTTCGGTGAAAACCGCGCGTAGCCGAAGTGAAAATTCAAATTTGAAATTTGGCGGACGCAGGGTGGGGGCGCGGAGGACGGGCAGGCGACGCGTGCGACGTAGAAAAGACGTGGGTGGTGAACCCTTCGGCGTGGGTATCCATCTTTGAAGTCTGCGTGACTGGTGACCAGCGGGGGCATGTTTGGCGGCGGCGCATCTTCACCTCCGGCGCGCATACTGTCTTCCACCATCGTAGAGCAGCGGGGGCATCTTCACCTCCGGCGTGCTTACTGTCTTTCACCATCGTAGAGCAGCGGGCGCATGTTGACCTCCGACGTGCGTACGGTCTTCCACCGTCGTAGAGCAGCGGGCACATCTTCGGGAACGTCGTGCGCACTCTCCTGTCGCAGTGTGGAGCAGTGGGCGCGTCTTGCTCTCCGGCGTGCGTATTCTCCTGTGGCAGTGCTGTTCGTCAGCGGGCGCGTCTTCGGCTCCGTGCGTCGTATCCTGTGCCAGCGGGAGCAGCGGGCGCATCTTCGACTCCGGCGTGCCTGGTCTCCGGCAGCGTGCGAGGAAGACGACAATCAGGAACACGACAAAAGCGAGTACCAGCAGAGGCAATCTCCTCTGCACGTCAGCCATGAAATTCACCTCGGGAGCCACCCTCGCACGCGACTACTGCAGAAGAGTGTTCCGACATGCCGGGGGATAGGGCCGCTCGACCTTCATATGCCGACAACCAGCAGAGAAGACGACAAAGGTGCCTTCCTTCAATTTGAAATTCGACCGTTGGCGCCCACGCACTGCCCGAAGCGACTCCGTATGTCGTCCTGCGCATGTCGTCGTCCTCCTCCGCTTCCCGCAGCCGAGCCAACGGTCCACCACGGACGCCCACCCGCCCCCGCTCGGCCCCTCCCCGCGCTCCACCCCCTCTGCCAACGGCTACCGTTCGTGGCCGTTGCCCGCGTCAGGCCACAGAAAACCTCCGATGTCCGACCACCGACTCGGGGGACCGCTTCTGGACCACCAACGACTGTTGACGGTGCCATGCGCGCGACGCAACGACTCCGTGAAACGCGGGAATCCTAAATTTTTCAGTAGGTCGGGGGCTACTGGAAAATTTAGGACGATTTCGCCTGGGGAATCCTAAATCCTTTAGGACTCGTCCTAACAACGTTTTCACATTTTCGATCTCGGAATTGGATTTAGGATTTCGTGCAACGAAGATGCAATCCAAAAAACAGGCACTTTTAGGAGTGTCTAACGAGACCCATAGTATACAGATCCGTTGTGGAAAGAAAAGTAGCCAGAGCACGCCCGGCCTCGGGTACTGCCTTTCCCTGACAATCATAGAAGTCCGCAAAGTGTTTTTTTTTTTTTTTTCTCCGTTTTTCTTTGCCTCTTTGCCCTCTAGTACCGAAACTGCTACGACCCCGCTTTCAGTGCCCGAACCCCGTCTGCCGTTGTGCGCGTTAATAGCCGCTTGGGAACGTTTTCAGCTGGGCGAGGTACTGGGGGTTGAAGGGGGGAAGCATGTTGCTTCCTGCCCTAATTGGTGGTGGTCAGGGGGTAGGATGGGGCCGTGGGTTCGAAAGGGGGGGAAAGGGGGGGCTGACGCAAAGACTGAGCATTTTGCAAGTAACTGCACCTCACACTCCTTGTTTTCTTTTTTGAAGTTTTTTCCTTGTTTGTTTTTGGGAAAACAGCTCAATAATAGGCCTGGGACCTCACCGCAATTCGACCCGGAGTTAGCCTGGGAGCATTACCCACCCAGTTTAGCTTACGGGCATGAACGGCGGCTCGTCTCCGAGCCATTTTTTTTTCCCTTCCCTATCCATCTCAATAGCACTTCTATGCTGCATGCCCCCCCCTTTTTCTACCCTTGTATTGTATGCCCCCCCCTTTT